ATTTTCAATATTCTTAAAAAGGCAAACCTATTTTCGAAGAGCAACAATTTTGTATAAACCCATTACATAAAAAAGATGAAAAGACTGTTTTTGGTCAAAAGGGAAGTGCACTTCCATTTTGTTCCCCTACCTGCTGCCAATCTGGCCCTAACACTGCTTCCAAAGAAACTTAGGGCTTTGGCAAAAGACAATCTGAAAAACCATTGGCAGGATGTGTTAGGGTTCTAACTGATCACTTTGAAAGTAAGATTTATCAAATGGAAAGCTCAAAGCAAGTTATAATCTTGCCCAAAAGTAAAAAAAAAAAACAAAACAAACAAAAACACGAAACAAAAAGTTAAGAAAGTAAAAAAGAATGTCGGGAGAGAGAAAGTGGAACCAACTCTTTTTACCTCTGTAGTAAGAGAAAGTCCAAAAAGAAAAATAAGTAAGATATGCATAGCAAGGAGAGCCAAAACCTGTTGAATGCATGAGATGGGCATTCACCAAATTAATATGCTATGGCCCATTCTCTATGTTACCATCAGTTTTCTCAGGCTCAGTAATTATATTACATCTACTTGATTTCTGCCTTTTCTTCAATCCAGACGCAAATTATTTAGAGGGAAAAACTAACTACTCTGTTCTGTCCTTTGTCTGAGGTGCTATAACTAAACAAAAATTAAAAGTTATATAAAAGAGGCAGTTATTTTTAAATCCAACAACACAAATCTTTGGAATAGGAGTCAGTTTAAGGTTGTCATTAAAATACTGTGAATCTGAAATCTAAACCTGCTTTTTCTATAACATAATATATAAGTTCCTATACCCAAAACTAAGGTGGCCACTACAAAATAATGAAATGACATTAATTTCTGGTATAGAATTAATGATAAAGAACTCAGGTACTGATAAACTTAATGATATCTTCAGGCAAGCAAGTTTTCCTTTGTGACTAGAATGATAAGATGACTCCTCTCTCAATTCCTGATGTTTGTTAGAATTAAAGCAGTTTTAGGAAAAGCTAGGAAACACATATTTAATACTTTAACCTGAGAGATCCCTTATACTGGGCACTTAATGCAGAAATTACACCAATTACCCAGAGAATCTTGACTCAGGATTTTTAAATAATTATAATACATACTAATTCAGCTAAAATATAAATTAGAAACGACTTTTAAGTCTGTGTTTAATAAAGAGAAAAAACTTAACTTTCCAAATTTAAAAGTTGAAAATTTTTATTAGCTTGTCTACAGCCATGCTACCCTGAACAAGCCCGATCCCATCCGATCTCAGAAGCTAAACAGGGTCGGGCCTGGTTTGGATGGGAGACCACCTAGGAAGAACAGGTGCTGTAGGCAAAAAAAAAGAGAGATTGTAAGCTGACAAAGTCCTTGCAATCTGTGAGGTCAACCAAGGGTTGCCTCACCTTAATAAAAATAAAAAATAAAAAGAAATTTTTTAAAAAAAGAAAATTGTTACTAGCTTGATTTTTAATTCACTTTAAAAAATTAGATTTACTTTAAAAGACTACATCAAGCATTCCTTTGTACTTTGATCTATTCTTCTCATATAAATCTATAAAAGTAACAAAGCACATTTATTGAGGGCCAACTTTATTCTAAACACTCTGCTCATTGCCTTAGATGTTTTATCTGAATCTTCACAACAACCCTGAAGTAAGCACTATTTATAGAGTAGCAAACTGAGATTTAGGGAAACTGAAGTATTTGCCTAAGTCCACACTGTCAGTGAGAGACACAGTCCAGGTCTGAATCCAAGCCCTACTCCAGAGCCAAAGCTCTCTACCACTCTGCGGGCCTAAGCACCTAAGTACTCTCCCGTTTGGTACCATGCAGGGTGGGAGGGAGGGAGCAGGGGTACTTATCACAGGGTAAGGAAATTTTGGAAATTAAATATAGGATATAATTCAATTACATACGTATTCCTTTTAGTTCGGAAACTATGTAAGAGGCACATTAGGAAAATGTCAGTCTTTTGTTATTAACTGGAATAAGGGATGGATACGAAAGATGAAAAAATCAGAGATAATTGTCAATTGAAGCCAGGATAATTTGAAGAATGCCCATTACTACAGTAAGATGTCAAGAAGAACTGATTTAAGGAGAAATATAAATTCTCCTTCACACCAGTTGAACTAAAAATGAGAATAAAAAAATTAATATTTACTGAGTACCTATTATGTACCAAGAGCTATGCTGAGCATCTTATATATACATTTTTTAATTTAATTCTCCTATTAATTCTATAAGGATATTATTAAATCCATATGATAGAAGGTGATCCTGAGGCTCTAAGATGTTAAAGAACTTGCCCAAGAGTCAGACTGTTAATTAGTGACACAACCAGAATTCAAATCCAGATATGACCAAATCCAAAATGTACAGATTGATCTATATGTTTATAATGTTATCAGCAAAAGCAGAAAATTTAAATGGAGAAATCTAAAGGGCAGGTATCGATTCCTAACTATTTCAAAAAGCAAAATCCAGAGATGTTTTCTTTAATCATATATGAGCACATTTAATGATCAACTAATTCAAACACCCTATCACTGAAAGAGAAAAATATTTCTATAGAATCATTTACCTGGCCAGAGTTGAAGTAAGTAATGAAGAACTTCAATATGTTTTTTAAAATCCAAAGCACTGGCGAGTTCTTCTGAATCAGTAAAGACTCTGTTGTTATGGTTGGAAGTCTCTTGCCTCTGACTTAATAATACTGGTCCAAAGCACACAGCCAAATTCTGGCAGGTCATCTTATTCACTTCATGATAAGAAGCCACCAATTTCAAATGATCCAACAACATCTTTAGGGTTGCCTAAATTAAATTGAATTTCACTTAATATAGTTAGTTATACAAGGGCAAATTCAAGGTCACAATTAATAGCAGAAAACATAGACAGGCATCCTGTCACTTTTTAAAAGGTCATCTCAAAGATTCGTTTGTAAGTTGGATGTTTGGAACTTGAAACTTATTTTATTATAGAAATGTTACACAGGACCCTTAGGTTCTAATAACATAATTTGATCCATTAAATGGTTATATTATACATTCTTTACAAAATGCTCAAGAATGCAGTCCAAATTTCAGCTGGAGTTCCTAGGTAATTATACCAATAATGTTTCCCTCTCTTCCCTTCTCTAAAATGACAACAGCAAAGGCTGTGATAGAAAGAGGAGTATGGATAAACCCTGTCGTCATAAGTAGGAGACTAGCATTCTTAAATATAGGAAGCTAACCATTTCACAATGTGGCAAAGTTCTATCATGATCCAGATTGGGGAAAAGACCCAAATGGCTTCTTAATTAACTAATAAATATTTTAGGTAGACAAACTTTGGACAAGGGAAGAACAATATAATTAGAAAAGCAAATTTATTGAAAAAAAAAAGTTTTTAATCCTTGAAGAAACTAGTAAGGGGAGTTTGTTCAAGAAGTGGAATGGTGATTTAGGTTTAAGTAATTATGGAAAGAAATGTTTTTTGAAGTAGTGGCATACAATCATTTAACAAACGAGTGTGTAATTTCTTCTTTATAATTGTATTGAAAAAATAAATGCCAACTAAAACTGTAATTTTAAAAATTATGAGGAAAAAATAAATGACATATTATTTCTGGAGCCAAAAGTGACAACTGGATTTAGGGATTAGAAGGTCATTAGTAACCTTGGCAAGGACAAGTCCAGAGAGATGGGGCAGAAAGCCAGATTGCAATGTGTTGAGTAGTAAATGAGTGGTAAAGAAGTGATGACAGCCGGAATAAACATTCTGTCAATGTTTGGCTGTGAAGAGAATAAATGAAGATGAAATGAAAACTAGAGAAGAATTGATATTTTGACATCAAAACCAGTCGCACACTGGTTAACACAACACACATACAACCACAACTGTTTAAATATATTAGGTTCACTCTTAATAGAAAACAAAAAAAAATGCCATTTAAAATAACAAATCTTTTTTTGTCTACTAAATACAATGAGCCAAAAAATATATAATTGTTTTTCCCCTCTTGAAAAGTAATATAAAAATATGTATTGAGAGCCTTAAAATGTTCACATCATTTAAATAAGCAATTGTACTCTAAGATTCTCATACAAATAAGTAATTCTAGATGAAAAGAAATCTGTGAACAAATATATACAAATAGGATCAAAACCTAAATATTATACAAGAAAACAGTCATATGTCAAATCCACTCAGTGGAATATTATACAGCCTTTTTAGAAAAGATGTTAATAGCATAAGTTTTAGGGTCAGAAAGACCTAAATTCATGTGATAGACTATAACACTCACAAAAGTCATATAACCTTGGGAAAGTAACTTAAATTCCCTGATACTCATTTCTTCACTTATATGTAAAATGACACTTATACTTAATATTGGTGAGGGACTGTTTCTATCCCTTCACCCTACCCTTCTGCATCTGTTCACCTCTTTATAGCTGTCCCCTTCCCCCCACCCAAAGAAGCAGTAATTTCTAATCTAATTGGACACAGCACAGGATGTTCAAAAGACTACAGTAAACTAGTGAATGAAGCTTGGGATTAACACTTCTACTCACTAACTCTTGCCCTTTCCGTCCTCACATGGAAGAAATATGGACAAAATCAGCCTTATCTGGACAAGCCCGACCATATCTTTTTCCCTTATTTTCCCTTTTGTTCTGAGAAACAATGGCTAAAAGTTAGGCTAAGCCTGGTTCTGCAGACCCAGCCATCTTTCCATTTCTCCTTCAGCCGTACCTGAATATATTGGTCCCAAGATTTAAATTGTGGGGAGGGGACTAACGGGAAGAGGCAAGGAGGAAGGACATGGTAGGGGTGAGGGTCGCTTAAGTCTTGAGGCTAAGCCATGTACTCCAAAACAGTTAACGATATTCTTAAAATACTAAAAGAAAAAACCAAATTTTAATTATAGTTGCCTTTAGATTTTGATAATTGTAATTTTATTTATTATTATTATTATTAAAAATTATTGGGATAGCATTGCTCAAAAAAAATATGGAATGCTTCACGAATTTGTGCTCACCCTTGCACAGGGGCCACGCTAATCATCTCTGTATCGTTCCAATTTTAGTATATGCACTGCTAAAGCGAGCACAATAATTGTAATTTTCATTTTTCTTTTCTACATATTCCCCATTATTCTATAATAAACATATATTATTTTAAAAATAAGATAACAATACTCTTTAAAAACTTATGAGAGTATTCATGCCTAGGCCAAAATCACACAAAGATAACATTTTTTCTAAATTGATTCTGTTTAAGAAGCAGTTTCTAGACTTATGCTGTTTAACAAGACTTTAGTAAAGACAGAGCTAAAACTCATGAGTGCCACAGATGTCAAATAGCTAAAAATTATTTGTAGTTCTGGAGCTAAGTATAAAATTCATTAGCTGGCTTTCTGGAAAAATGTATACAATTACGCTTACCTTCTCAACATCAGGCAGACAATCTAGCAGGTCGACAGTGTTCTTGGAGTCACTTGGATCATTCTTACAACCATCTGATGACATTTTCAAGGGATTTTTTGCCATTGCATCTAATACAGCCTCATAAAGCTGCTTTGTTATCAGAGGAGAAGGAAGTTCTCTTAAATAATCCTTAAGAACACCTTGAGAAAACAAATCAGAGACAGTTGGCAATTGGTCTTCAAAGTGAAATAGAAAACTGTGGTAAATTTTTTTTTTAATTTAAGTATTATTACAGTCAACTTTTAATATTTTGAAAATTATAAAAGCAACAATGTAAAAACTATAATAAAACAGTAACATTTTATATTCTTATAAATTGCCTCATTGACTTTTTGTTTTCAAAGCAAGTTTCAAAAGTACACATGTAGTTTCCAATTATCATACATATAGGTTTATTGCTAATAAAGTAAATCATTTTTGATACATATACCCTATTAATTCTTCCCCCATAAAAACCTCCTCTAAGTGCATGTAAAACAAAAGTTAAGAAATCAAGGTATATTATTAATTGTAAATTATCCCAATTATATGAATTTTGAATTTCCAGCCTTTTAATTGATAATGAAAGAGCGTCAGTGATCAAAGCCCTTGCAAATAAGACCTATGTAAATATATTTCCTCTTTAATACTGGAGATGTCTTGTGTGTATGTGTGTGTGTACGTGTGTGTATGTATAAAAAACATAGATACTGGATGGTTGGATTACCTCTAATGCTACACTATGGAAGAAAAAAATCATTCCTAAAATCAAACAAATGAAACCAAAAGCCAAGAACAGAAAACATCAGACTTGTCACTATAATAGGAATGAGAGAAGTCAATTCCAAACACATCATAAGTGGTTATGAACTAAGAGATATCACCTGTAGTAGAACAACCTGGAAAGGGCTGTTACATATAAGCAAGGTAGGTAAGATGCTAGCTAAAAACTAGAGTGTGATCACAAGGAAAAATAGGAGATATTTCTGACACCGAACATCTAAATATAGACAATACTAATTCAGAACATTCTCTCAGCTTAGAATTTAATTTGAAAGCTCAGTTTGAACTTAAACATGATCATATAAGCTTCCCATCTGATAATCTCTTAAGTTTTGATAGTAACATGGTTCATTAGTTTCTTATGCATCCTTCTAGTGTTTGTTAAAATATAAACATATTGCCACATAATTGTTTATGAAAATATAAATTATATATTACTATGTTCTCCTTTATTCCATAAAAGGTAGCATATATGTCTTGTTCTGTTTCTTGCCTTTTTATTTACCATTATATGCTTGAATATTTTCAGTACATAGCTTCCTTTGTATGTATGCAGGCATGTTGGTAGAATAAATTCCCCAAACAGGACCATGAAGCGAAAAATGCATTTGTAATTTTGAGGGAAAAGAAGAAGTAAGGATGTTTCCTAGGTTTGGGGCTTCAGCATCTGGGTGAATAGTGCCATTACTTGAAACAGGGGAAAAAGAAGGAAAACCATATTTTAGGGGATAGAAAGGAGTTTTATTTTGAACATATTAAGCTTAAGGTATCTATGGGACATTCAAGGCTGCTAGGTATAAAAATCTGAGGCTCAGGAAAGAGATGGCTGGAGACAGGGATCTGAGAATGATCACCTTAAAGATGATAACTGGAACCTCGGGAATGACTGCGATTATCAGGAAAGCATACAGAGTGATATGATAAGAGAAGGCCCTGGAGAACATCAGCTCCTGAGGGGCTGGCAGGAAGATCTTCCAAAAGCGACTAAGAAGAATGGCTAAAGTATGAGTGGTAAGAAGAGGCAGGGCGGGTGGCAGAAACTGGCTAATATGCTGCCAAGGAAAGAATGTTTCAAGAAAGAGTCTGTGATGTCAACTCAAACCCAACAATAGTTAGGTTAGATAAGAACTATGTTAAATCCTATGGAGAAGAGTGTTTCTCAAACTTGGCTGCACACTGAAACAATCTGAGGAACTTTAAAATAATAGATTCCAGAGCCCCATGTCAGTCCTACTAAATCAGAATCTCCAGGTCAGGGATCATACCTCTGTATTTTTAACAAATTCCTGTTGTGGTTCTAAGGCAGCAGCAGGGTTTGGTAACTAGGTATAAGAAACAATGATATAATTTAAGATAAGGACCAAAAAATGTATACCAAGGAAGGAAAGCAGTAACCTTGGAAAGCATAGTTTCAGGAGAATAAAGGACACAGAAATCAAGTTGCAGCAGGTTAGGAAGTGAATAGATATTAAAGAAACAGAGAAAGAGAAAAAAAGATAGGCAACTTGCTCCAGAAATCTGGCTTTGAGAGAAGGTGGCAACCACAGAGTAGCAGGAAGGTCAGGGTGAAGCAGGATCAAAGTAGGGATTTTTTTTTTTTTAAGATGGGAATGACTTCAACATTTAATTGCTAATGTAAAGAAGATATTAAAATGGTTTTTAAGGTCCAGGAGAGAGAAATATAATCTATTAAGTAAAGCCCCCAAAGAGGAAGGAAGAAGAGACTCCTGAGAACACAGAAAAGAGTTAAAATTAGTACAAAGTGTGAGGAAGATCATTTCTATACTGTTACAAAAAGGATAGTGGAAAGTGAGAAAGGATGTATGCCAAAGAAGGCAGGTTGGCAAGTTGGGTCACAAAAAGTAGAGGAAGTTCCCATCTGATCACTTCTATTTTCTCTGAGAAGTTAGGAGGCAAGGTGATCACTAAGAGTGTTACCTGGTGAAATGCAATTTGAGGAGAGTGAGAAGATATTAAATAGACACTCTGGGGAAGGAGAGAGAGAAGGAGGGAAGGAGGGAGGGAGGAGGAGAAAGGGAGAGGGGAGAGGGAGGGAGAGATAATAAAAAAAAAAACAATTATTAGCTATTTTATTTTAATTATTAGTTACTTTACTGTGTTCACTTCCATCCTCTATCCTCCCTCTCTAATCCTCCACTCCCCACTACTAGAATGTAGGCTCCTGAGAACAAGAACCTTCTCTGTCTTCTTGAGCCCTGTACGCCCAACACCTAGAACACTCTCTGATGCATCGTCAACTCTCAACCGAATCAATGGCTTCAGTTTCTTTCTTAAGAAGCTAGTAAAAAAAGAGGAGCATATTATACTCAAAGTAACAAAAAATATATAAAAACCATAGTAGAAATTAATGAAATAGATAATAAAAAAGTAAAATCAACAAAATCAAAAATTGGTTCTTTGAAAAGATCGACAAAATTTACAAACCTTCAATGAGGCTAAGAAAAAAAGAGAGAAGATTCAGATAACTAAAATCAGGAATAAAAGAGGGGACAACACTATCAACCTCACAGAAATAAAAAGGATTATAAGTGAATACTATGAACAGCTGTATGACAATAAATTAGAAAACTCAGATGAAAGTAGAACTTGTAGAGAGATATAAACTACTGAAAGTGACTCAAGAAGAAATAGAAAACCTGAATAGACTTGTAACAAGGGACTGAATTAGTAATTTTAAAACTTCCCACAAAAAATAGCCTGGCTCAGATAGATGCTATCAAATACTAAAAGAAGAATTAACACTAATTCTTCACAGACTCTTCCCAAAAACAGAAGAGAACACTTCCAACTCATTCTACAAGGCCAATATTACCATGACACCAAAACCAGACAAAGACATCACTATAGACCAATATTTAGGAATACAGACACAAAATTCCTCAATAAAATACTCACACACTAAATCCAGCAAAATATTTTTTTAAAAGAAATATATATATCATGATCAAGTGGGATTTATCTCAGAATACAAGCTTGGCTTCACATCTGAAAAACAATTAATGTAATATACCATATCAACAGAATAAAGGACAAAAAATGACTGATTATTTCAATAGTCTCAGAAAAGTCATTGAAAAAAAAATCCAACACCCTTTCATGATAAAAACACGCAACAGACCTGAAATAGAAAAGAATTTCTTCAACTTGATAAAGAGGACCTATGAAAAACTCAGTCAACATCATAACTAAAGACTGAATGTTTTTCTCCTAAATCAGGAACAAGGATGTTCACTCTTGCCATTGCTGTTCAATATCATATTGGAGGTTCTAGCTAGGCAATTACTCAAGAAAAAGAAGTAAAAAGAATCCATTTTTAAAAGAGAGAAGTAAAACTATCTCTATTTGCTGATGACATAATCTTGTATATCCACTAAAAAAACTAATAGAGCTAATAAGCAAGTTTAACAAAGTACAAGATCAACACGCAAAAATCAATTGTATTTCTACACACTAAAAATGAACAGTCCAAAAATAAAATTAAGGTAATTCCATTTATAATAGCTTAGGAATTTAACAAAAGAAGATCTAAATGGAAAGCTATCCCATGTTTATAGATCAGAAGACTTAATACTGTTAACATGGCAATAATCTCCAAATTGATTATAGATTCCATGCAAAACCTATCAAAACCCCTGCTAGCTTTTTCACAGAAATTTACAAGCTGATTCTAAAATTCACAGGGAAATGCAAGAGATCCAAAATAGCCAAAAAAAAAAAAAATCTTGAAAAAGAATATTGGAAAATTAATACCTCCCAATTTCAAAATGTACTACAAAGCTTCAGTAATCAAAATAATGCAGTATTGGGATAAGGACAGACATATAGATCAATGAACTAAAAT